GTCTGCGAGCCTGACGAGTCCACTGCAACATCCAGGAAGTTGATCTTGTTGTTGACACTGTATTCAAGTGTAAACTTCAAGCCTGATTCTTTTTCAAGGCGTCTTTTGAGCGCTAACAACGCTTCTTCGTTTTCGATGTCGACGTATATGTCGTCAACACATCGAGCATAAACGTAAGGTTTGTTGACGGCAAGCACCTCTTCTTCAATGGCCGCCATGTGCATACGCCTGGGCAAATAGCACTCCCAACGGGGAGCCCATGGCGATGCTATCGACCTGGAGGTACTAATGAGCGCAGAATCCGCGCTCATACCCGGGACCGAAGCGGGGCAGGCCTGGTGTGTCAGAGAGTGTACCGATTAGTGTGATGCGGAACAGTATCCCATCTAGTCGGCTGCTGTCTGGTGAACTTGGGTCAGCCGCCGCACGGAAGGCCTCCCTCCCCCCGAGTGGGGAGGGAGGCCGGGGAAGGTGAGCTATTCATGCGGTCGCAGCCCGCGTGGAGTTTGTGCGGCAGTGTGTATTGGAATTATTTCTCGGGATTCAAAGCGAAGTTTTGGGTTTGTTTGAAGCTCTTTGATCACAGTGGATGTGTGCGGGGAGCTGGCCTGGGTGGTCTTAGCAGATAGCCGTTCGCCTACACAGGCAGGCCGCAGACATGGTGCAACAGTGTATTACTGTAATATGGCCGACCAGCCGGGGAAAGACCCTTCTGTTGGAATTCTGTTGGATTAAAGAGGCTTCTGTGTTTTAACCCGGCAGTTGCTGGGGTATTTCGCCACCCACCGTTTGCCTGGGGGGGGGGGCGTTAAACGCCCCCAGCCGATAACTCGAGAACCAATAGGCGCAGCGAAACGCACGAGGCGGCAAACGAAAGAACGCGACGAGACGCTTCAGATGAGTATTTTAAAGTTGAAGTTTGAGGTCACAGGTCGGGTCAAGGTCAGGTCAAACACCTGAAATCGGGCTTTCAGTAGCATGGACTTCAGGACTTCGCAATGGGCGCCTCTCGTCATAAACTCTGTCAAAACGGCGCACAATCCATCACATAAGGCCTACAAGAGTGTTAGCTCCATGTAGGGGTCACTCAAGCATAGGTCAGGGTCAAGGTCAGGTCAACCGGGTAGGCACATATCCCCGAAAATCAAAACTGATATTCGCAGCTTGTGACACATGTTTTATGGGTAATTTGGGGCGTAGAACACGATGGTGACATTCATTTTATCATATGTGTACGTGTTTGGCTCAAAAAGTTCAATTTAAGAAATGCATGTATCATGGTCGTGAAGTAGTCACGAGAAATTGCCAAGATTCAGTTCAAGATTGTGGGAAATGCGGAACGATAATCAATAATCGAAGATAGCCATTTGATTGGTCATGGTATTGGCAGTCTAATGGCGTTTACGGCATGTCTGTATATCTATTCTGTGATTTTATATGATTTTTTGAACATGTGCCGTTTTTGGTCGAAAACTCAGAAATCATGACGTCACTAAAACCTCGATATCTCAAAAATTTTCCGACCGATTTTTTTTTGAAACTTTGTCAAAATACACTTCAACCTATTCCCTACAGGTACCCAAAATTTGGCGCGCCGTTTTTATGCTATGGCCCGGCGAAAAAAGTGGGGGCGTTTAACGCCCCCCCCCCCCCAGCAACTCGCGGGTTAAGGTGTGCCGATACGTATTTTGGGATCGTCCTTAAATTCCTCGCCCTCTTTGCTCTCACCACCTCGTTTTATAAATAAAAATAACCATAGGCGTAGGAACCGGGGGGCCAGGTGGACAAGTGCCCACCCACTTTTTGAGGTGTGGGGTGGGCAACCATGTGTTTTGGCCCCCCCCCCCCACTTTTTACTCGAGGCCCTCCCGTCTCGAGTTGAGAGGACGTAGTCACCTTCCAGAATAAAATGTAGGTAACTTGGAATGTGTTTTTACTTGCTATCATGAATTCTATCTTCAGTAGAGTATCGATCCAAGAAAAGAAGGCGATAAGAAAACTAGAATCCATTGGAAAAGACTTAATGAGGACAAATGCTGCTGTTACAAATTAACTCGCTCGCTCGCTTCGCTCACTTGTAAAATACTGCGCATTTTATACACACTCCTCAGGCAAAAACATCAAATTTGTACTTACCAATTTTCCACTTTTCCTCAAGTTCTAAGACCATTAAAGAGAAGCCCACCTGCGAAGGGACCCGTTTGCAAGGGGAGCCCATCTGCGAGCAGAGGTGAAAAAAAAAACTGCTACTCGCCTGTGTGCGTAGGCGACAGCCATAGGAATAAACACACAGATTCGAGCATCTCAGTTGATGCATTTCAGGTAGATAACTAGGCCGTTTCCGCTACAATCAGAGCTGCCTTCCCATAGAAAACCACTATGGACCATGGCACAAAAATTTGACAGCGTCATCTCTTTGAAGACAGCTGGGGCTGAAAACCCCCGCCGGTGCGACAGCCGGTGCGTTGTGAAGCGCCATAGACAACGCAGGAAAAACGGCGACAGCGCGACAGCTCGTCGCCAGTTGAACGGTGGCGGGAACCGGCGCGGCCTTGGCCGCCGACGGAGTAGGGAGGGACCGGGAGACTGGGACGGGGGACGTCACAACTGGGGCGAGGTCCATGACCATCGGTCCCAGAAACTTGGTAGGAGCGTTGATAATTGGTCTTGACTACTGAAGCACCAAAGACAAGTGAATCAGTGACAACTGACAATCCTTTCGTGAGTTCTGATTGAACTGGATCAGGAAGCCATGGGACGAGCTAGGAAGTCGATCGGACCTATAGGTAAGTTTAACCCTCGCCGGCACAGGGGGGGGGGGGCTGATGCACCCCCCCCCCAAGGTTTTTCGCGAATAACTCGCGTGAAAAGCGGTTGATCGCGACGAAGCTTTCAGTACCCTCGCATTTATCAATTTTACACCTAACCTGAAAATTTCATGAACCTGACCCAAATGACCTTTGACCTGTGACCTCTTTTCCGAGACCATGTTTGGCCGGAATCGCGATTCGGCGTATGTCGGCTCGCATTAGCCGCGCGTTTGCAAGCTTTTCGTGGTTTCAAACGTTCAAACAAGTGATTTGATGTTACTCCCATGCATTAGGGTGGGTGTCAAGGTCACCTGAAGGTCAGGTCAGGTCACTGACCTTTGGTGACCTCGGTTCACTTTTTCGAGTTTTACATGATTCTATGGTAGTTTTGTTAGCTGAATTCAAATTTAGCAGCCATTTGAACATTTACGCAGCTATGTCAATGGTCAATGGCTGATAATGTTACACTAGGAACATGCAAATATTGATTGCTGCTAAAAGTAACTACCATGATGAGCCCACTGCACGTTTATGACCACGATGGATTCACCGGTGTTGCTTATGTCGAACGTTCGATGCACTTCAGGTAGATGGCGGTAAGTCTTCTCGGGCGCATCGCACCACCATTATCAGCAGCTATTTGACATATCCGTTGAGGTTTAACCAGGTGGGCATCATCGGGATTCTGAGACAATGGGTTACGCAATCGGCAGTAACGTTAACAATACAACATATTTTCATGAAAAATTTGCTTAGCCTATCAGTAAAACGGTAGTAACGATACACCCAGTAGCGAAGCTGTTAAAACTTCAACTATATATGTTAAGCTGCAGGTAGGGGTCCTTTTCGAGCAATTTAAATTGTGCGTTTTTCTGTATTTTGTATTTTAAACCAAATTTCATTCAAAATTTTCAAAATTTTCAAAAATGTTATTCATGGCATTCACTGTTCAATTTCACATCAGCCTAAGCAAAAATGACGAAATCATATCAAACGGTTTGCATTTCACAGCGATTTTACTAAACCACTACCTTACTGTCTCAAATAGCCCCACTGTCTCAAATAGCCCCACTTTACGGCACCAAAAAGTTGGCTCTCAGCCCAGGGACCGATAGCGATACTTAGAGAGTAGCGATACTTTCAAAAGAGACTACTCCTGTCCAATGTCCATATCATACCGCCGAAGTAGGTTCCCAGCCAGCCATCCCAAATGGGGCCCACATGGGCTGGAAGTGGGGAATCTGGGCGAATGTGGGCTGGGCTACATCTGGGTATGTCTGAGCGTCCAACTAGGTCCCAGATGGGCTGAATGGGCTAACTTTACGTGCTGGACTTGGCCGGCGCCTCCACTGTGCCGCTACCCTGCCTGATCTGGGCCGCTACCCTGACAGACTCCTGATTGGGCAGCCGCCTGGGCACACCCCTGCCCGCATCCCTGCGAGGTCGCTGATACTTGTGTCGCCGGCGTTCGTTGTGTGGTGGCGCGGCCGCCCCAGCAGTTGGTGACTATAAATAGACGCAATAATACGGCGCTAACGGACCGCTCGGGCCTCTACACTAGTCACTATCGTTAAAACTCTTCTCCTCTTTCACAACAGGTACGCATCCACGCTTCCGTTCTCTACCGGCCGCCGGCCGCTTACCTGCAGTGGTAGCGTAGTGTAGTGGTTGGTTAGGGTCCCCGCATCATGTTCCATATGTCTTGAGTTCGAGACTCTGGGGATCTAGTGAGAGGCAAAGGGTACGCAATTTTCCCACGTATGACCATATTGTTTTTTTTTTTGGGGGGGGGATTCACGCGGAACTAGTGGACGACATAAGCTAGGTAACAAATCCCAATTAAAATCCATGTGCGCTTTTTGCACGTGTCCGTGTGAGTCCCAACTGGGAAAGCCCGTGTGGGACCCATATACAATATACATACATATATCCCAGCTGGGTCCCATATGGGCCCCACTTGGGCTGCCCGTGTGGATCCCAACTGGGAAAGCCCATTTGGGGCTCAATACGGGCCCCCGATGGGTCACACATGGGCCCCGTCTGGGGTACCCAGATGGGACCCAGTTGGACGCCCATGCCATTCCCATCTGGGTCCAAGGTGAGAAGCCCAGATGGGTCCCAGTTTGGTGCCCACTTGGGGCCCATGTGGGCCCCACTTGGGAAGGCTGGCTGGGTTAGTGCCTGTCGTACCTGAGGGTTTTGTCCGGTTAAGGTGTGCTCGGCAGAGGTCGGAGTTGCAGCGGCTTCGGCAAGCGGCCCACCGGTGTCGTGGGACGTCGGGCCACGACGGGTGGCACGCTCCTCGGCAGTCTGGGTAGGCACACCATGGCGGGTCACATCAATGAAATGCGCCTTGTACAATTGCTCTCCGTCATGTTCGTCTATACCGGGTAGCCCGTAAAAACACGCTCCTTGTTTTTTTTTGTTTTTTTACTTGGGTCTCAAGGAAAATTACGGAATGATTTTTCTTTTGTCACGTTAGCATTAATTACCAGGTTTTGACCTAGAAGGAGTAAGAACTGCTCGCACCTACAAAGCACGTGCATCGTGCACCCCACCGTGACAAATTTTACATGACATCGTAGCGCACCAAACTGGGCAGTTATTTTGCGTGGTGCAGTGAAGGACGCTTACCACGTTTTCGGAGGAACTTACAGACACTAAATCCGCCCTGCTGGGGAAGGGGAATGGAGGGGAACACCCTCGCCCTGTGACTTTTCGCGAATATCGCTCCATGCTGTTTATCACTATATGCTCCATGCTCCAACTGTTTCTTCAACTTTTGATCATTACGCCATGCTACTTTCACATCCAGCCCCGATTCTTAACCACTTTTTTCACCTTGCATAGCAAATCCTCATAGATGTACGGTAAGGTAAGGAAGTATTCCTCCCCCAACATCTGTTTCGGTGCCCTACACTTTGACCTCGCTTGTCTGACCTGCAATAGAAGTTTTTTTTCAACAGCTGTGCCGAATAACCATTACCCAGTAACAATGCCCTAATCTTGCTCACTCCACATTCTGCCTTATTTGTGCTGGAAGCATTGTTGTAGGCCCTATGGAACACGTTCCTAATCATGCTATGCTTAGTAGCTGTGGGGTGCGCTGAGGTAGCCCGAGTAACACTATGCCCGAGTTCGTTGGTTTAATATATAGTTCCGTCTCCAGTTTGGCCCTACCTGCATGGGATGTCTCGATAGTAACTAAAGTGTCCAAAAAGGGCACTCCTTTATTATCTTTGGTGAAGGCCAAGGTAATAATATGAAGATAATATGAATAATAATATGAGGAAGCAAGCTTTCGCTCAGACACTTCCTGTCGATTCCATGTGTTTCCAGTGCGCGGCCCCCGTGCGACCTCTCCGCGGTGCTGCCGCCGACTGAGCCGGCATAGACCCAGCGCGGTCACGGCCAGTGGGCGGAGTTAAGTTGGGCCCGGCGCAACGTGATTGGCCAGCGCTCCCATCCAATCCGCTGCGGCAGCGAACGAGCCTCTATCCGGGTGCAAAATCCAATTAGCATTACGAGCCTATGACAAGTGCTCTAAATATTGATATTTTGTTAAGAGACCATATTGGTGAAAATCGGCGCTTGAGCTTTTGTCTAATGTCAATGTCTAATGTCATAATTTCAAGCCAATTAGACAAAAACTTAAGAAATTATCGCCGAAAAACAGGGTCTCATGGGGTCTGAAATACATAGTACCTACCTACGTCTTGAGGTAAGTTTGGGAAAAATGGATTTGTGTGGTAGTAGGTACTAGCCTAGGTAGGCACTAGGCATACTGAATACCCAATAGAATGTTTACTTCAGATGGTTCAAATGCAAATGTTAAAAAATGACGGTGGGCCGCAGGGGTATCCTATTTCTACAGAGAGCCTCCTATTTGTCCAGGGGCCTCCTAATTACCAAGGGTGTCTTCTATTTGTCTAGAGGGCTTCCTATTTGTCTAGGGGCCTCCTCTTTGTCCAGGGGGCGCCTGTTTGTCGAGAAGGTCTCCCATTTGTCTAGGGGGCCTCCTCTTTGTACAGAGGACCTCCTCAATGCCCAGGGTGCCTCCTATTTGTCCAGGGGCCTGCTGTTTGTCTAGGGGGCCTGCTGTGTGTCCAGAAGGCCTCCTTTTTGTTCAAGTGCCTTCTACTTGTCCAGGGACTTCTTTTTGGTAAGGGGAAGCTCCTATTTTCACAGGGGCCTCCTATTTGCCCAGGGGGCCCCAAAGTGCAAGAGGCCTCCTTATTGTCTAGGGGGCCTCTTTTTTGTCAGGGACCTCCTATTGGTACGGAGGGCCACCTTTTTCTACAAAGGTTCTCCTATTTGTGCAGGGACCTAGGGGCCTCCTATGTGTTCACTGTGCAGGGGCCTTTTATTTGTCTAGGGGCTTCCTCTTTGTCCAGGGGGCCTCCTATTTGTCTAGAGGGCCTCCTTTTTGTCCAGAGTCCTCTTACTTGTCCAGGAGCCTCTTAGTTGCCCAGGGGGCCTCCTGTTTGCCCAGGGGCCTCTTGCAGGCGCGGATACAAGGGGGGGGGGCCATGGGGGCCATGGCCCCCCCTTGGCCGATTTTTTTTTTCAAAAATAAAATAAAAAGTTAAAAAGTTAAAAAGCTGAAAAGGGGGCCTCCTGAAAATAAAGTGGCCGAAATCCGATGAGTTTTTTTTTAACCTACCCACTTAGTTATTTCTTAGAAGACTAGCTGAGAAGACTTCTTTGTTAGAAGATTGGTAAAGCTTTTCATAACTTGGAGGTCTCTTATACTCACAGAGATGACCACTTTTACAGGGCCTCCTAACCTGCACAGAGGGCCTCCAAGCCTGCACAGATGTTGAGATGTTGCCTGAACAGCTAGATAAGCTCAATAGACGCAGTTTTTTTTGGGGGGGGCCAACAAGTGGGAAGATGGGGCCTCCAACAGGTGGGATTATGGGGGGGGGCCTCCTGGTTTCTAATGGCCCCTCCCTTGGAGATTTTCTGGATCCGCCCCTGGCCTCTTGTATGACCAGAGGGCATCCTAGTTGTATAGGGGGCCTCCTATTTGTCGAAAGGACCTCCTTATCGCCCAACGGCCTCCTATTTGTACAGGAGGTCTATTTCTCCAGGGGGCCTCCTATTTGTCCAGAGGACCTCCCAATCGTCCAGGGGCCTCCTATTTGTACAGGGGGCCTTCTATTTGTACAGGGGGCTTTCTATTTGTCCAGGGGGGCCTCCTTATTATCCGGGGGCCTGCTATTTGCCCAGTGGCCTCCAATTTGTACAGGAGCCTCCTAATCGTCTAAAGGGCCTCCTATTTGTCGAGGGGCCTCTTATTTGTCTAGGGGCCCTCCTTTTTGTTCAGGGGATCTCCAATTCTGACAAAGAACCTTCTATACGATTAGCGGGCCTCCATTTGTAAAGGAGCTGGTGCGTCTCGAGGCTATGTCTGGGGTAGCAAAGTCACAGATAACAAGGGGCCTATGATTTTGAGCAAAAGGGCCTTCAGTATTACAGGGGTGGCAAAAAGATATGTTTGCCCCCTGGCTGGTGCCAGGGGGCAGCTGCCCCCTGCCCCCCCCCCCCCCCCCGGTGGCGCCGCCCCTGTTGGGGATTTTATCTGTCCTCCCTTGGTATGACGGAATATATGTAGGTATGTATACAATCAAAAAACCGGCTAAGGTTAATGCTTATTTCCAAACATGTCCGTTCCATTTCCATTTCCGTTCCACATTCAAGACAAAAACCGTAAGGAGGTAGGATAGCACTCCTAGGCCGGCGAGGACTAGAAGAGTGCCCCCTCCCCACCCGTCTGGAAGCCCTTTAGTGATAGCTGGGGCCGTCTCATCTCACTGGGCGGCCGCGGGTCTCACCTGCTGCAACCGCTCCAGTGTGATAATACCGCGCTGGGAGCCGTGCCGGCCCAGCTGGCCGTCCGAGCGGCACTCCTGGAAGGCACATCACCAAGGCGTTCAGACTTCCCATTTTCTGACTCAGACTATCCACGTTGCGAAGTTCCGACTACTCCGCCCGTTCGTCTGTCCGTCAGTCCGTCTGTCCGTCTGTCCGTCAGTCCGTCTGTCTTTAAGTATGTCCGTCTGTCCATCTGTCTGTCTCTCTCTCTCTCTCTCTCTCTCTCTCTCTCTCTCTCTCTCTCTCTCTCTCTCTCTCTCTCTCTCTCTCTCTCTCTCTCTCTCTCTCTCTCTCTCTCTCTCTCTCTCTCTCTCTCTCTCTCTCTCTCTCTCTCTCTCTCTCTCTCTCTCTCTCTCTCTCTCTCTCTCCTCTCTCTCTCTCTCTCTCCTCTCTCTCTCTCTCTCTCTCTCCTCTCTCTCTCTCTCTCTCTCTCTCTCTCTCTCTCTCTCTCTCTCTCTCTCTCTCCTCTCTCTCTCTCTCTCTCTCTCTCTCTCTCTCTCTCTCTCCTCTCTCTCTCTCTCTCTCTCTCTCTCTCTCTCTCTCTCTCTCCTCTCTCTCTCTCTCTCTCTCTCTCTCTCTCTCTCTCTCTCTCCTCTCTCTCTCTCTCCTCTCTCTCTCTCTCTCTCTCTCTCTCTCTCTCTCTCTCTCTCTCTCTCTCTCTCTCTCTCTCTCTCTCTCTCTCTCTCTCTCTCTCTCTCTCTCTCTCTCTCTCTCTCTCTCTCTCTCTCTCTCTCTCTCTCTCTCTCTCTCTCTCTCTCTCTCTCTCTCTCTCTCTCTCTCTCTCTCTCTCTCTCTCTCTCTCTCTCTCTCTCTCTCTCTCTCTCTCTCTCTCTCTCTCTCTCTCTCTCTCTCTCTCTCTCTCTCTCTCTCTCTCTCTCTCTCCTCTCTCTCTCTCTCTCTCTCTCTCTCTCTCTCTCTCTCTCTCTCTCTCCTCTCTCTCTCTCTCTCTCTCTCTCTCTCTCTCTCTCTCTCTCTCTCTCTCTCTCTCTCTCTCTCTCTCTCTCTCTCTCTCTCTCTCTCTCTCTCTCTCTCTCTCTCTTAATCACCTGAACACAAGAGGTAGATGCAGGACACACTTCGTAACATATAAGGACACACAGGTTTTTAATGATCTTTAAGATGGGTGTAGACTGACGTTCTCGGTGCAGCTCCAGCAGTCGCACGATGCTCTCGGCCGCTAGATCCTGTCAAAGAAGGACGGAAACGAAGCGTCACGCATCTCTGCCCGCCCGCCTATGCAGTTTGGCAAAGGTGAGCCAGTGAAACAAAAGAGCAAAATCAAAATTCGGCTACCAACCAGCCTCATATTTGCCGCTGCTGCGTGATACGAACGTACAGGGTGTCTGGAAATTATTCGTACCTTGTTCATTCAGCTAGAATCTCACCGTACCTACGCTGTTGAACATTTTCTAAGCCCGCGCCTCAAGCTATCCACAGCTGTCAGTTAGTCGCAAGACCTTCAAAGAGGCGCCAGGGGCCAGTGTTTGGCAGGCCTAACTCGCACCGGAACGTGGTGTGTACTGTGTACTATGACGAAAGAAACTCTTTGGCGAAGCGTCATCGCGCTGAAGGTGAAGACTGAAATGAAGTAGGAAGTCAAATCGAATTACCTGTCCCATAGATAACATAATTCATATGATCTATGCCTGGCCTAATCCCAATCGAAAACCTATGGGGAATCATGTGGGAGGAGCTCAGCAAGATCTAACCAGCTCCCACAGAAAACAGACTTAGAGGAACCTGTGAAAGGTGTGGCCAAGGCTATAGAACTGGGTGTGGCTGAAAATCAGCGCGGATACTCTGGACATCTTGATCTATGGAATGCCAAAGCAGATGATGGAATGGGCAGGACAGGGCAGGGGATAAATCGATAAATTAACTATGACCTCTTCGTTTATTAATTATGGCGGCCATTTGATGGAGGGGCAAATAATTTCCGGACACCCTGTATGTTAGAGCCAAAGCGAAAACCAGAGCATTTTGCAAAATGCCTAAAATGCCTGACCCGCCAGGCATTTGGCAAAATGCCTAGGCAGTTTCCAAACTGCCTGACCCAACAGGCATTTTGCAAACTGCCTGAACTTTTTTCCCAAGCTATTTGCAAAATACCCGACATCGAACTGACACCAGCGACGATGCATAGGTAAGCATCACTGTAACGGCTGTTTACAACAGTTAATCGCTGGTAATGCGTGCAAGTGGGAAAACACTGCGTTCTCCGGGTAGCGCCGCCGAGTTCAGGTCACTCAGAGAGACACCGTTTCTGACGTCACACGGAAATGCCAGTCGGCTGGTTGCGGCACTGTCCCCTGCCGGCGCGGCTGTGCTGCCACCTAGCTTAGCCTTGTCATATTGTATTGTATAGTATTGTATTGTATTGAACAATCATGAGCGATCCACATTCTGAAAGTTCGTGGCGATTACTGCTCAGAATCCGTATCCGCGGTTGCTAATCTAAACATTCACAGCATTCACACATTCGCTCACGTCAAAGCACGGACAGAGACACTTTCGTAGTACCACAGGTACAACTCACCCACCCACCAACCCGTTGGTCAGCGACGATCAGTTGATGCCCTGTCCACTATCGCGGCTTTAACAGATCGGGCAAAGGGGGCGGGAGACAGCTGCGACAGCTGAGTTGGGAGACTGTTGAGTAGAGCTGCGGCTCGATAGCCGAACCGCCGCCTACCCGTTTCCAGCCGTGGTCGCGGAAGGTGAAAGAGGTGGTCTTGCCTGGAGTGTCTCTCCCGGACAGCGCTGTTTGTGACGAACAGGGTTGCCAATTCCTCGGGTTCGCCGCGCTGAATGGCTTTGTGGGCGATAACAAGGGTTTGGTAATCAGCCATATGACGCGGGGACAACCACCCGAGCTTTTTTCGCAGGTCAGAGACATGGGCAAATTTACGGCGACCGAAAATGACTTTAGCAGCGAAGTTCAAAATTTTTATTTGATGAGCTGGACCGGAGAGTGGCGGAATAGTCGGCGCAGCAGCCGGTTGGCCACCCATCGCCGGCACTGGAAGAGCCGTGCCGACACGTCGCCGGCCCGGAAACTGGTGCGCGATGGAATGGGCAAAATCCAGGCCTGCCCGACGCCGGCCGCCAGGAGGCCGAGCGTCAGTTCTGTGACGTCTCGCAGCCACGGAGGGACCCGACAGTTGGGTGAGGCGAGGTCATTGGCGCCCGCTATGACCAGCACCACGTGGGAGCTGAGAGTAACTGCCGTCCGTATGGCCCAGCACCGAAACTCTGAACCTAAGACGCCCCGCCGCGCCGGCGGTCTCATCAGCGCCCTGCGGCGAGTACCGCGCCCGCAGGCGGCCGCCGCCGACACCAGGGGTATCGCTTTGTCCTGTCGGTGCCGCCGCCTGGCGGCACGTATCGGAACGGCCATCCCCACGCCCCGCGTCGGGTAGGGGGAGGGGTAAGGGGACACGTCCCGGCGGTGAAAACAATGCGCCGCGCCGCGACCCGGGCCACAAAGGATCAAACATGGCGGCTAATGGCTATCAGTTGGAGCGCACGAGTAGATCGGGCCGCGGCGGTTGCGGACAGCGCCGCGGCCGGGAGCGAAACGCCGCACAATGCCACTGGGAGATAGAAAAAAATGACTAACTGCCGAGAGCGTCTGCGTCGTCCACTCGGCGTGTGGATGCCGACACGCCGCACCGATGTAGCACCAACAGCGAGTCGGCCGCCCATGCCGGTGCTGAGTACCCTTCCCGACGTGAGAAAGACCCGCCAGGAACCTGAGGCGGCTCACGGCACTGCTGTTCCGCACCAGACGCAACAAACTATTTCCGAAAACAACACGGCACAAACTACGTCCTAGTGGCACGGCGCGCGTGCGCTTACTGCACTGGGGGCCACATAGTGCTCACGCCGAGCGGTAGGTGTCGCTATACAGTTTTGCGCCCGCGGACAGAGAAAGGCTTTGCCGCTCACCACCGTTGGTGGCGCGCAGCAAATACATTTGGAGACGATCGAATTTTTTTGGGACCCATTGCAATAAACTGAGAGGCAGTACTGGATGCGTGAGATAACGAGTGCTGTCACGAGCGTTCTAATGATGCCATCCGGGAGACTGTGGCGCGCATGGGAGAGACCGATCAACAGTCCCGTACACCGGCGGCTGAGTTCGGAGACGTGAGCGTCCCAGGATAGAGTACTGTCAAAAGTGACGCCCAGGTTCCCTACCTGCGCGCACGGCTGCAACGCTGCGTCACGGAACGATACCCTGAAATCTGGCAATTTGCGTAAATTTTGACGACTGCCGAAGACAATGAGCTGTGTTTTACTGGCGTTGACCTTCAGGGCGTTAGCGCAGAACCATTCGTTGAGTGACGCGAGCGAAACCTCCATGCGCGAGATGAGAACTCCAAGGTCCCTGGCAGGACCGCTAACCAATACTTGGGTGTCGTCGGCATATTGAAAGACTACGGCATCACCCGCGTACAGCGATAAGTTGTTAGAGAAGATGGTGAAAAGTAACGGCCCTAACGCAGAGCCCTGGAAGACACCCATGGTATTAGGAAGAGGCCGAGACAGCACTCTACTACCGGACCCATTTTTCAACGACACGCTCTGGGTGTGTCCATGAAGATAGGCGGCGAACCAGGAAATTTCGATACCGTGCAGCATAAGTTTTTGCATCAGGGGAGAGAGAGAGAGAGAGAGAGAGAGAGACGGTATATTTTCAGTACATGGCTTTGAGGATTCTCTCATACAGCACATGTTCCATGCAGTACAAAACGCGCACACACCAAACACGTTCTACAGTTCCATACACATGTCTTCATTGAGGAGTGAGGTCATGTACGGGATTGCTGATTTTCTTAAGCGAGCACTGCAGCAGAAGGGCTGCAGCATATCCATGTTGCGAGTGTTCCGTCCGCTTACATCTGCTCTCGTAGGTGGCAGCATTTCTCGGTGAGCCGCATTTTTTAGCAATTGCCTCGCCTGTCGGAGGGACATCTTCTGTCTCCTGTCTGCAAGACTATCCATTTCAAACCTCTGTAGTAGATCCTGGTAACTATGTTGAAAACCTGCAATAATTTTTAGGGCCCGTTTTTGCACGCTCTCGATTTGTTTAGCTTGAGAAGCAGTAATACCCGCATGGAAGACTGGTGTACAATACTCTAAGAGCGGTCTGATATAGGTCGTGTAGACTTTAACCAATTGGTCTTCAGGTGGTTTGTATCGTCTCAAGATGTAGAGCATATATAAAGCCTTAGATGCGCGCGCCACAACATTTTTGACGTGTTCTTCCCAAGTCAAATTATTTGATATATTTACACCTAAAAGTTTGGCTGTACTGCAGATTGGTATGCTGTCACCATTTATCGTGATGTCCGGTAAGATCATGGGTTTCTTTGCTGTGCAGAAGTGCATCACATGACACTTATCGGTGTTGATAACCATCTTGTTTTTGTTTGCCCATTGGTGTATGTCGTTTGTCACAAGTTGTAAGGTGCTCGTTTCATCTATACTGTCGATTGAGCACGACTGAAAGATGGTCAAATCATCAACGTACTTCAATCTCTTTTGCGTGTTTCTTGCAGCATCATTAATCATGGCTAAAAATGCGATAGGCCCGAGCAATGTTCCTTGGGGCGTACCACATGTTATTTTCTTCCACCCACTCAAGGAACCATCCGGCATCTTTACGCGCTGTTGCCGGTCTGATAGAAAGGAGGAGACCCACTTGGTGTAATCAGCCCTGAGTCCCATCGAAATCAGTTTCTGCATCAGTATAGTGTGGTCGACAAGGTCAAAGCCCTTCTTGAAATCAAACATAACCATGGAAAACAGCGTACCTTGTTTTTCCAGTTCAGTGAGTAGGTTATGAAGCAAACGAATGAGATAATGAGAGGTTGAGGCTCCTTTGATGTTACCATACTGATACTGATCTATCGCAGGTCTAATGTCCGCCGCAATTAACGGTACAACTATTTTTTTTCCAGCACTTTGCTAAATGTGGGTGTTAGACTAATGGGTCTAAGTTCACCAGGTGCCACGGGACAGGGCTTCTTGGGCACAGGGGTAACAGTTGCTTTTCTCCATATCAGTGGAACGTGACCCTCTCGTATCGACCAGTTGTAAATGTGAGTGAGTGGGACGGCTAGTTCAACAGAGAACTCCTTGAGAAGTCGTACTGGTAGTTGACATGGTGAGACCGACA